TATCTTTCATTGCCATTGCCTCGTAGGCCCATCATTTCTGGGCTACCACAGTTCAGTATAACAGTCTAATATATTTTGACTTGATTGAAAACATATTATCTTCACTTGTGACTAATGTCAGTGGCAGACTATTCGATGTTTTATTTCAATGTGAATGAAGGGCATGTAAAAATAAATAATTCATTAATTGCATTCAAAGCGCGGGAACTCTATATTTTTATGATTTTCAAGTTCGTTATCCGTATGGTGAAAGTGGTTGTTTCTGGATGTTCTGGGTTTGTTTTATGATGGTCGTTATGGTTAGATATTATTATGCTACATATTTCATTATTACATTTTGAAACTCTTAAGGCGAAGGTTGTTTTAGGCCGTTTATTTCCAACTTTCGTGAGCATTTTTATTCACGTGTACATGTTCAAATGTTTTACTGCAGCATTAAATACTAATACAAAATTTTTTGGCGTGTCGGTCAGGTATTAAATATTTTAAACTTATTTAAAGTAACCTTTGCCTTATCTCATGCATATTTTATCTTATTTTTGACAGCCTTGGCTGATGACAGATTTCATACTTTTTTCAAAGGGAAAGTTATGAAACGAGTTTGAAAGATCTGTAACGATGTCACTTTAGAGTATTTGCTTGAGTGTTTCCGAAGAAACTCAACAAGCATCTATTAATTCCAGTGATGGTGCGGAGAAGTAATGCAAGAAAGGTGATAATATATAAATAAGTGATCAATAACGTGATCTGTTCAGCATTGCGTTGCTCCTGGGGCCTGCGGTAATCGCGTTACCAGCAATCCGGCGTTTCCTCCTCTCTGCTGCTAGATATTGGTTACGAGCGACAGAGCTTACTAGACATAGTCGCTTTCTGATATATGTGTGTGCCTGCCTAATAGCTATATCAAGTAGCTATAGTCTAATAGCTATATCTGATAACTGTTCACCAACACAAAGTTTCACCTTTAAATCTTGTAACCATTTTAGAGTTTTTGTTTTTTGTGGTAACCACTGAACCTGGCTGTAACAGCAGCCCCCTGATTCTTCCACCAATTATGTAAATTGATTATGAACATATATTAGTATAGATTTTAGAGAAGCCTTCACGTTGGAGTATAAGTTTTTCTTAATTTTTCTATTTCTTAATGAAAGTGGCTGATGAAGGATTACTAGTTTTCTGTACCTTGCCTGTCAAGATGAGTCTACTTCACGGTTGTGCATCAAAGCGGGGTTACTCGTTCGGTCGAGCATGTAGCTCACAGTCGACAGGTTCTGGGTTCGAACTTCACTCGGATCACTCTCGGTTCGTTCTTAAAGGTAGATAATGGATACTTGCATCGCGAAAATGAAACGGGAAACATCACGGCAAACTTGCCATATGGCTGTATATATAGCCTTAGACTACCATAGCAAGGCCCTTCCCGCTGATGATAATGAACTGAAGGTTAGTACTGCACTTTAAGCGTCACGAAAGAGGGAATGTACACATGGCGCCCTGTTAATGAAATAGTAAAAGAGACTGATATCCCATGGTTGCAGAATTTCCTTCCTTTGCGGTGTAAGAAAGTCACTCATACAGTGACTATTCTGTTGATAGTTTGGGTCCCTAGCAGTATGATAAGATTATGAGTAAACCAAGGATTCGAATAGTGACTGGTTTATATAATCAGAACAGCCAGAGCCGTCATTCACTGAAGTTTGAATTTTTTTTTGCTGTTATTGTGTCATATAGCTGGGTAGAGGAGGAAGGGAATCACAATTTATTATTGAAGCGACATCGCAGAAAATGTCATTTTCTCCAAAAATTTAAGACTGCATAAACGCGCAAATGAAAATACAAAATGAATGTTGGGCATAATACCGGCAAAAAAGGTATGCTTCTACAAAAAGCATTTACTGATGGTCCATCGGGTGATAGACGTAAGTTTCAGCCCGTCTCTCAGAAACTCCCTCCATACTGAAGTCGATGGTAGTCTGATGAGCGGCGATGATAAATTTGTGGGAACTGATTTGTGTGGGTCATACATCAGTGTTCGTCTGTCTATTACCCGCTAGGTAGTCTGCATTGCGCTGTATGTAAATAGACCGTTTTATGTTGTATTTCAGAATGACTACCAATGCGTTTACAAACTGCTTCTTCAGTGTAGTATAATAGCACAGTTACGACAGTCAAAACAGTTCAGTGTATATGAAACTAGCGCAATAATCACAACATAGCTGACACATCAGAAGTTGATAGAGCAGTTATCTGCTTAAATGTCCCACTTCCTTAAGCAACCTAAGCAAGGAAACGGGGTAATATGGCGTGAGACATGATCTAAAGAAATTATTCATTATTTGTTTCATTTATTATTATTCGTTATTCAGTTATGCGGTAGCATATGCGCAGTACCAGCTCTTTAAACATCGTTCGTAGTGAAGACGTGGTGGTTCTAACGGGCAAAATGATGCGAGAAGCATTTTGTACTGCAGTTGTTCAAATACTATGGAATCACAGGCAACTACGAGCAATGGGGTGGTACAGTACGCCGCAAAGCCTCGCCTTCGATGAGTCATTGGTTATTTGT